GAGAGAGAGAGAGAGAGTCTCACAGCCGCGCTAGATGGGGGTTGAGTCGGAGCAAGGCTCAGAGCCCTAAAGGGGGGTGGGGTATGATGGGCAGGGGGCGCCCCAGCGACAGCCCCCTCTCCTCTCCAAAAACTTCGCCCTCCGGAGGCTCCGCCGCTCCCCTGGCTGAATGGAGAAGAAGCAGCAGCAGAGGCAGCGTTGGCGTTTAGGTGCCCCCCCCCCCTTTCCCAGGCCAACACTTCCTTTCCGCCCCGCCCGGGACTCGGTTATATAGGCGCCGCCTTAGACGCGGGGTGGGCGCTGGAAGCGGGGAGAGGGAAACGCTGGGAGGGATTGACCGCGGATGGAGGGGGGCGAGCAGTGGGGAGCCCTAATCCGGTGAGGCTGCGGGTGTGTGTGTGTGTGTGTGTGTGTGTGTGTGAGAGAGAGAGAGAGAGAGAGAGAGAGAGAGAGAGAGAGAGAGAAACTGTCATTCTGCCTCTCTCTCTCACTCCCTCTGTCCCTCTTTCACTTTCCCACTCTCTGCCTCTCTCACTCCCTTTCTCTGTATGCCTCTCTCTCACACTTCCTCTCTCTGTGTGTCTTTCTCTTCCTCTCTGGCTCCCTCTCTCTGTGTCTTTTTTTCTCACTCCCTCCCTCTCTCTTCCCCTCCTCTCTCTCTTTTCCTCTCACTCCCCCCTCTCCCTTCTCTCTCTCACTCCCTCTCTCTGTGTGTCTCTTTCTCTCTCCCTCCCTTTCTCTTCCCCTCATCTCTCTCTCTTCTTTTTGTTTATTTTTCTCTCTCTCCCTCTCCCCCTCCTCCCCCCTCTTTTCCTCTCTCACTCCCCCCTCCCCCTCCCCCTTCTCTCTCTCACTAAGTCTCTCTCTCTCTCTGTATCTCTCTCTTCTTTTGTGTCTCCCTCTCTCCCCCTTCTCTCTCTCTCACTCCTTCTCTGTGTCTTTTTCTTTCTCTCTCCTTCTCTTCCCCCTCCTCTCTTCTCTCTTCCTCTCTCACTCCTTGTCAGCTTTACTCTCCCTCTCACTCCCCCCTTTCTCTATCTATCTCTTTCTTTCACATTCTCCCTCCCTCTCTGTGTGTCTCTCACTCTTTCTCTCACACTCCAAACTAACCATTACACACAACCCGTATAGTCCTCAGAGCAATCTCTATTAATGAACCCCAGTAATTTTACTGGGTTTTATATCAGGGACCTGTAAGTAATTAGGTAATGGCAAAAAGGTCCACCATATTTTGTCTAAAATTTTTAAAGGGTCTTTGTATGAAAGGAAAAGTAATGACACCTAAAATGTCTTTTCGTTACCTCCGGTTCTATAATCCTCATTTAGATGACACCCACATGCAAATCAAAACTCTCTAGCTGCATCTCAGAGAAAAGAAAATTGATTTATTAGAGGTTGCCATGTTGGCACGTGGCTGGATGCAGCCAATACTAAATTACACCATACATTTCCCCCTTGACCCTGGTCTTCCCCCTACTCCCTGGATGTGACTTCTCCATCTCCAAGAGTCATCCATCATGCTCTCCAATAACCTTCTTATGCTCTGAACTCTTTGGGCTGCCGGGGTGATTATCTAGGCATTTAAGGAATGCCTTGTTTTCCTACTCCCTTTTTCTATCAGCTAAAAAGACCAAAGGAGTATCTTTTTAGTTGACAGCTGCTTCATTACAATGGTGCTTTCTCAAAAGGCTACTGGACTTTGTTTTTCCTTAAAGTCAGTTCCCTTCTTGCCCAAGAAGCTTCTTCAGTTTCTACAGCCTCCAACGTTCAGTCAGAACTGGATGAAGCTTCTTGGATGAGAAGCGAAATCTCTTCAAGGTAAAACAAAGTCCAGTGGCCTTTTGACAAAAAAACACCTTTGGGACAACCATGACCTGGAGGACTGAGAATCTCCAAATAGATATTTCACGGACAATATTGTCAGCTTTTGGGATAACCCATTCCCTGATCCTAGCCAGGTTTTATGAGACACCAGTTTAGGGAAATGAGTCTGTTGTGATCTTGCATGTAAGTAGAGAGAGTTGAAGCAGTAAAAAAATGTCTAAAATTGTAAGGTAACTCAATCTCTTTTGTCATTAATAATGCCTGGGGCAGTTTTGATAAAATTGGTACTTTTTCTTTAAGTGTCTTCAAGAGAAACAAAAGCGACCACATGAGTTGAGCCCAAGACATTTACCATGGAAGGAGAACTTGGGTCTACACTTAAAAAGAACAGAATGTCCCATTGATTGCAAACAAGTAAACCATCTTCTAAGTTGACACTTGCTGTTCTTTGGATGGAACAGAATCGGAGAAGAGATTGAAGCCTGATGATCCAATTGCCTAGGTTCTGAAGCTAAGCACTAATAGCAAGGCTGTCCGATAGACTGAAAAATTAAAAATTAATTTTAACCAAAGATTAAGAGAGGGGGGGAGGGAGGAAGAGAGAAAGAGAGACAGAGAGAGAGGAAGGAAGGAAGGAAGGAAGGAAGGAAGGAAGGAAGGAAGGAAGGAAGGAAGGAAGGAAGGAAGGAAGGAAGGATGGAAGGATGGAAGGAAGGAAAGAAAGAAAGAAAGAAAGAAAGAAAAAAGAAAGAAAGAAAGAAGAAAGAAAGAAAGAAAGAAAGAAAGAAAGAAAGAAAGAAAGAAAGAAAGAAAGAAAGAGGGAGAGAGGGAGAGAGGGAGAGAGGGAGGGAGAAAGGGGGAAGAAGGAGGAGGAGGAGGAGGAGGAGGAGGAGGAGGAGGAGGAGGAGGAAAGAAGAAAGAAAGAAAGAAGAAAGAAAGAAAAAAGAAAGAAAGAAAGAAGGAAAGAAGGAAGGAAGGGTGAATGTGGATAGGAACTGTGGTCTCCCTACTCTTACCTTAATTCCCAACCTTATGAACTGTAGAAGTGATGCAGCTTGTTTCATTAACAATACAGGTAGTCCTCAACTTACAGCAGTTCATTTAGTGGCTGTTGGAAGTTACAATGACAATGACCAAACAAGTGACTTAAAGCCATTTTTCACACTGAACGACCGTTGTAACCTTCTCATGGTGCTGTGATCAAAATTCAGGTGCTTGGCAACTGACGGTTGCAGTGTCCCGGGGTCATTGACT